ATGCGGAAGCGCTGCCTCAGCGTCTTGTGCGAGGAGGTCTGCAGTAGGCCCGAAGCTGAAGTGGGCGAGAGTGACGAAGTAGCCATAGCGATAGGGTAGAGGCAGCTAGCGCTGCCATAGCTGTAGCTTAGGGTGTTGTGTGAGTGTGTTGTGTGAGTGTTCGGGGTGTCGCGTGTGGGATATCCAGGGTGATCCAGTGTGTGAACAGTGGGTTGTTGGGCGCTGAGTCGCCATAGCAAGTGGAAGTGAACTCTTACCTGGAAGCCATATCTCTGAGTACTGTGTGGGCGCATATCGCCAATTTGCTCTGCTGCTGTTCGCGTGCATGAAAAGTGTGAATAAGCCGAGTCTGATTGCACGACCTGTAGACTTCAGTTTTAGTTGTCGTAGGGTCAACTTAGGTTGTAGCTGCTATAGTTCCAAAAGGTCAAGTCTAGGACCTTCTAGACCAGTCTAAGCTGGCTCTTCGTAGGTCGTAGGAGTCAGTCCGTAGATGAGTCAGCGAGGGGCAGTCCTAGTACAGTCAGTAAAGGGCAGTCCCAGTCCTACCTCGTCTAGTCAGCGGTACCCAGTCCCGGTCTAACCTAGTCTAGTCAGCAAGTACCATCTGGGACTGTGTACATCCTGGGGCCAGGCCCGGACGCCAGACCACTAACGATCCGAAGTATAAATAAGCGTCAAGTCATTCACTCATTCTGCCTGTGAGCCATGCGGAAGCGCTGTCGGAGCGTCTTGTGTATCGGAGGTCTGCAGGTGCCCGAGGAAGAAGAGGGCTAAGAGGAGGAAGAAGCGGCCATAGTCGCGAGTTAGTAGGAGAGAAATGGCAGCCATAGCTGCCATGTAGGTTAGTGATAGGAGCAGTGTGTCGTGTGTGTGTGTGTGCGTGTGGGACATTCAGGGAGATCCTAGTTAGTGAGCAAGTGTGAGTGTGTGCGTGCGCACAATTTGCTGGTGGATACAGTTGATCGGGTGGGAATCTTTGTTGGGCACTGGGCGCCATAGCCATTAGAGGCAAGTTGAATCTGAACTGTGTTCCTAGCCACGTTCTTATCTCTGCGCTTTGTGTGGGCGCATTGCGCCAGTCCAGGTCGTCATCTGTTTGCATGCATGTCGAGAGCGAGATGAGCCAAGTCTGATTCCACTGGTATCGGAGCCGGTTCCCGTTGTCCTACCGCCGTCGCGATCGCCATCGTCGTCGTCATCGCGACCGCCATAGTCGTCGTCATTGCGATCGCCATCATCGTTGCCATCGCCACCTTCGCCGGTTGAAGCGGTGGCACCAACGCGCCAAGATCGCAAGCCCGTGAGCGCCGTTATTTGCCGTGTACCTGCTGTGTCGCGCGCCGCTGCCATTTCCTCGTGCACGCTATTGCGCGCGCTAGTCTTGGAAGATCGTGTGCTTGCGTTTACGCTCGCCAAAGACCGTCATTGCTGAGAGGAAGGACGGCCGTCGAAGAAGAAGACCACTCTCTCTCTCTCTCTCTCTCTCTCTCTCTCTCTCTCTCTCTCTCTCTCTCTCTCTCTCTCTCTCTCTCTCTCTCTCTCTCTCTCGTCATCGTCTTCCTCTTCTTTATCTCCCCCAACGCGCGCGGTAATCTTCTTCTTCGTGGTGGTCTTCTTCTTTGGCGCGTGACACCGACCGTTGACCACGACTGTTGAGCAAGCTGGAGTGGTGTATAATCTCTCCAAGCCTTGGCCTATCCCCTTGCCATTTGGATGTGCACAGAACCTTGGTACTTGCTTAAGCGTCTGTCTGTCTCTTCTTTCTGCATTGAGTCACTTCTGTCCAGGTGATAGTCTCTGTGTATGTGGTCATAGAGCTGTGGTGACCAAACCTACACAGGACTTAGTACGGCTACAGCTACGTCTGACGACTGACGACTACGAAAGCCATGGAGAGAGGGGTAGAAAAATGTGCAATCTGCGCACTGATACAACTCAATCAAAACATAGTCCTGTGTAAAGATTGAACCGCAGTCACCATGTGGTCCTGGTGTGGTCCCTACGCTGCGTTTCAATCGCCCGCCAGAAGCGATACACACACACAGAAAAAAGAAAAAAAAAAAGGAAGAAAAACGGTAAACATCAAACCCCAGATCATCTTATATGCACATCCCATTTTGCTCCGAGCGGATTCCCTCCACACATCCAATCTGTAATCAACAGCAGGACAAGGACACAGCCTGGCACTCACGAGTCTAGGCCATCTCCAGTTCAGGGGTAAGGGTTCTGCTGAATAAGAAGCAGGCATGCAGTCAGTCATGTGTGCACGCATATGCACATGAACCCCGGGGCCACACACACGTGTAAACATGTGCACACACACACACATATACAGGGCACACATGCATGCAAACACATGCAACCTGAGTGCAAGTGACATAACATGGAGAGCTCAGCTCCATAGAAATCCTTCAGTAACCAGAAGTTGATGACTGGTGGCGACATGTACAAGACACAGGCAGGACTGTGAGCATTTTGTTTGTTCCGAGTGCACAGGCGTGCATGTGCTTTGTCTATTCTAAGTCCTGTTTGCTTTGCTTTTAACTTCACACTGGCATGTGAGTACTTTGTCTGCCCTGAGTCCAGGCGCGTGTGTATTTTGTCCGTCCTCAGTCCAGTCTTATTCAGTTTGCTTTGATTTCGATCTTTGCATTTTGTGTTGTCGTAAGAATGGTTTTCTTTGTTGCCAGTTCAGTTTATCCTGGTCAGGATGCGTTACCCGGACTTCGTCTCATCCAGACCTCCCGTGCACATTTTCTGGCCCAGCTCATTGAGGCTGGCCCATTTTTCCTTCCAAGACCCTGTTGCTGAATCTGCACAGGGTTAGGGTTAGGTGTAACTGGTATACTGTTCTTCTGCTATGTACTGGGTACCAGCACATTTAAAGTTTTCATCCCTCGGACATTTTCCATTTGCGCCGTCCTCATACTGACTCATTCTGGACATACCCCTTAGATCAGCCTAGCTGTCTGGCAGTTCCTAGCTATTTGTACCGGTTTCATATACTGGTGGGACATATTGTGCTGTAC